CCGTGTTAGATGGTGATTAATCGCCGACGTTTCGAGGACCATCTCTGTCCTCACTTTCAAGGCTGTAGCTACGAGCCACACAGTCAACAGCCTTGAAAGTGAGGACAGAGATGGTCCTCGAAACGTCGGCGATTAATCACCATCTAACACGGTTGACAGCCCGAGAAGATTTTAATGAAAGCTGCCGTGAAAGCTTCACGTCAAATGAAACTTCCTCTTCGTGCCTTAGACAGGAAATGCTCTGACCTCCTGCACAGGAGTAGGGTATCAAAGCCAGACGAAGAGAACCGTGAAGACGACTGCCAGCATGATAGAAACCACAAGGTCAGTGCCGAGCAGCAGATGCGCAGCCAGTAAAACCATCAGGAACAGAGCGATGTGAGCCGCCATATGCAGTAACCAGAACCTGAAATAATAAGTACTGGTTCTAAATAAAGTAACGTCAAGCACACGGAGTGTTCCTTCAATAGACTTGGCCGTTGAGGAAAGATTGGGCCGAGGTAACCAACATTACGCATTCGGAAGAAACGCGGATGTCCTTAGGATACGGCAGTCACCGTTTCAGGGGAAGGAAAACAAACGCATCCTCAAAATGACTTAGGATATGAGGTTTCCACGGCGGTGTCCGAAGATGGCTGTCTTTTGGGTTGACGTTTCAGAGGTTCCTACAGCCTCCATCATTCATTTCCTTACAGGTCACTGGCGTTTTATTTTATTTATTTTTATTTAGTATTCTGTCTGACGACAGGTCCATATGAACAGGATCCTTCCATCCTTTTCTCGGACTGGGACCTGTTCATATACGTTCTTGGCAGATGATCCAGAAGTGGTTTGCCATTGCCTTCTTCTGTGTGTGAATGGAGTAATTGTTGGGATGCCACGGAGAAACCGGGGAAGCCCCCGGAGGAAAACTCCGTGTTGCCTAGACCACGGCCTTGCCCAACACAAGTTATAAATTCGGGCAACGCCGGGAATCGAACCCGAGACCCCAGGATACTGGGCCGAAAAAGTAAGAAAAAGGCCGAAGACAAAAGTGAATCTACGCTGCTCTTGTTGCAGCATCTCCGAGCGTCGTTGACAGTTACAGTGGCCAGCCAACTATGGTAAGGGCAAGAAGAAGGAAGCGATAGTGCACGAGGCGTCTTGCCATTTGTATCTTCTCTTCCCATGACGCAGCCCAGGCTCAGATATGTTTCGTTCATTACGCTGTTGTTCGGATCCCACGTTAAATTGGGGCCGTAGGCCATTGTGTTCGCCTTCCCATCGCCTTGTAATACGTGACTATTAAAATGACACGGCGGATGGTTTTGTGTGTTTGTTTTCCTACCTTCTTCAGTCCCAGGTGGTTTTGATAATGTGGATTGAATTCACGCACGATCTCGTACAGTGCAGTTTCAGTCTCCGCATGAAAGGAAACGGTCGTGGCATATTTTAATACGTTTACCCAGAATTTATCTGGAGGGACCGAAGGAAATAAGTATGGACTCATTTGGCCAAGATGTGATTCTCAGTGTAAACAGGGACAATTTACTTAAACAGCATTAACAAATTTATCTGCATAACGGCGAAGCGTGCTGTTTCCTTTGCGGTACGACCTGAATTTTTGGTTTCTATGTAGGTGAGTTTCGGCCTCCAGTGTTTGGGTTTAGTGCATTGTAGCTCCTGCAGATTGAAGTACCGTGTTATGAAAAACTACTCTGCGTAGGGCATGCCGTGGTTTTACTCCTGGCTAGAGAAATGTCTTTTTTGCGACGACATTCAAACCAACTGAGGGGCGTACCAATCCTTCTGGGTCATTTAGTTTCGGGATAAAACAGACGGAGCATGAAACGGATTAATCGCCCCCAACCTGATGCCGAGATTTAGCTTAAGTTTACGGCCCTTCAAAGTCTCGTGTTTCGACACACTTGACAAATTTACTGTTAGATCGTCTCTTGCTGCACATTTATGTTGCTGTCTGTGACTATTTCGTTCGCACTCCTAGTGTGTTTAGAACTTATAAGGAAATTACAATGCAGCTTGTAATCTACTTGGTATTTTGCCCCGGGCAAGAACGTAATTTTCTTCTTATGGGTCGCATCTGCATTTGAAGGTTGTCGAGTTATTTCATGTTATTTCTGAAAAGAAAAAACATTTCCGCTTTTTTATTTCATACTGTGTCTTCTTTTCTATCGGAGAATATTTAATTTTCGAATTTGCTTCGTAAATGAAGTTTCGTGATGTCTTAAGACAGTTATTGAAATTATCTCTTGGGAGTTTATCCTTTTACGGATATACTAAATACTCAAAAATATATTCTGAAACGTAAATATGACAGAAATAGTGAACATTTGTTTTAGGCCTTTACCTTTATAATTATATTGTTTTGGAGCGCACAAATGAGTTGTGAATTGAAATGGCTTGATACCAGACTTTGTGACTATGACCATGAACTTTCGGGTTCTATAAGAACAAGGGACTTCCTGATAAGCTGAAATCTGAAGGAACTCACTGTTTTCATGTAGTTAGATGGGCTGTGATAAAATGGTGGATGCGAGGAAAGACCTTCAGTTCAACAGGGCTCGCATTCTTCATGATCTTAATCTTTCTGTCTAGTCTGTGAGAGAAGGTATTAAGGACGGGAGGAGAAAGTATGCCGCGCATGTTGCACTTACGGCCTTTGGCATATAAGGTCCAGGTCACCAAATAATTATGATGTTCGTCTTCTGGGTTATACGCACGCACATTCCTAGGTTGATACCTGCACGGCGTCACAACCCATGATGTCTTCCGGGTTGTAATGGATGTGGTTGTAGGTGGATACCAATGTCTTGAAGGAACATAACGGCCTCCATCTTCAGGGTCTGGACTTTTTAACCCTATAAATTCGGGCAACGCCGGTTGGACCCCTATATCCTGGACACCCCTTTATATTGGACACTTTTAATTGGAACCGGCGAATATCCTATAATTTTACATGTCCACAATACCCTATATCTTGGACACCCCTTTATCCTGGAACTTGAACACCCCTTTTGTTGTAAGTTGGACAGGTTCATGCACTTAACTTCGATGCTTTTCAGGGAAAGTTTTTCGGTTACATACTATTTTGAATTTCTGGCTGATGGATGCCTCCTCTCTGGAGGATTGTCTTATGGACATTGAACCCTTAACTGGACTACAGTATTGCAGAAGACACAGTTTTATCTCCTTCAGTACTGTGCTTGCATTTGAGTTCAGACTATGTTAACAGAAACGGAATTTTTCTTTTTGCGATGGGGAAGCGAAAATTGGGGAATTAACTTCAGAAAATGTTATTGAGGCTGGGGTGTTATGTGCAATGCATGGGAGTGGGCTTCAAAAGATTATTATTATTAATACTATTGTCATTAATTCTTAATTCATGTAAGCCTACAGTAGTTAATGTATGTAAGTAAATAGATTATATTGTCATTAGACCACAATCTGATTTTTATCTTTTCCTCTATCTTGGACACCTCTGTAAGTTGGACACATTTTCGTGGAACCCCAAGTGTCCAACTTAGAGAGGTTTTGCTGTATATACTGTCCACTTCCTAACATCCTCACTTTAAACCTGGAGATTAAGGAAGTGTATTTTCCAAAAACTTTGATATCCACTTATAACTCCACACGCAGCTACGACCCAGGTCAACATCGACAGATGATTTTTTCCTTTATTAGTCATATGTCGGATGTTTTCTTTTAGTCTTACAATCATAATGATTCGAAGGATGGATCTTCTTTTGTCGTCAGGCACAAATGTGGTATGTGTGTTATGTTGGATCCGGTCTGTGCGCCACAAATTGGGAATAGCTTATTGTAATTTTTACGACTTAAAAGCATTCAACAAACGATTAATGAAGTCCAAAACAAACAATGTAGTAACAATGCCATCCCCTAAGATGTTCACAGAAGAATCGACAACTGTTAACAGTTTCTCCGCTACAGAATTGTTCTTGGCAGACTCTGATGTCTCCCGTCCCGCAGCCATCCTTCTGTTAGTGAGACTTTACTCACCTTTTTATTCTTTTCCGAGCTTCATTCAAAGTTGTGGTTGGTTCTTTGTGGTAATACTCCCTAACCCCCAGCACGTTCGCCTGCAGGTAAGAATACCAGTCAATGTTTTTTGGATCGAAGTCAAACAACCGACGGTCAGTCGGTTTTAAACTCTCTGCTAACTCCGACGTGTTGTTGATGTCAAAGTGCCATTGTCGTTTGGTGAAGTATTTCACGTGCTTTATTCCCAGGGCGTACTTCTGCTGCACGGAAAGCAACCTGAAAAATACGCTTTTAAATACCTCTTACGAATGCATCAGGAATCCTGCATGAAGCAAGTTGATTTATTTACTTCGGTCATTTTCTAAATTTACATAAATACGTGGTCAACACTTATGTTTTGTATTGGGGAGATCATAGGCTGTTTTGTCTCAAGTTTTCGTGATTTTCCTCACTCTCTAGTGTCTTTAAATTTCCCATGACCGTATATAGAGAGCATGTGCACTGTAATCTTCGAGTGGTATATTTTCATTGTTACTGAAACTAAAACCAAAACTAAAGCTCTCCTGTTGGAGGACTGAGTTCTCATGCTGTCGTGGTGGTTCACGCTAGGCTGTCTTCACTGTCAATACGCCAAGCAGGGTTACGTTTCCCGGTGATATTGGCTACAAAGGGCAGAAAAAGTCTCGCATATAATTTTAATAAAGAATTACATTATGGTCATTTCCGTAATGAAATTAAAGGAATCCGTGACATTTTCTCGCCGAACACCACGATTTCACAACAACAGTTCGGGAATCCCCGCCATAACTTTTCAACTACAGACATCTCATTTATGACGGATCTGCCTCTCTGATGCCTCAGTTATGAGTTATGTCAGCATTTGAATTGAGACCTAGAAAATGTGCGCGCAGTGTGTCAATTCTGGCGCCTTCGCCGGAATTTGACCCTTGCAAATGGCGCCAGTTACTTCAGAGTTACTTGGATCAATGACACTTGCGTAGGCGGGATGTCCTTTACCTGAGTAGCTGAGTGACTGCGTCATCGCCGAGGATTCCCCGGCGATCCCCACGTGGCTCCATGACTGGGTTGTGATTGCCTGCGTTAGAATTATCCGACTTGGGATTCCCCATGTGAGGAATCCCGGCCAAGCAATTCTGAGCACAATAATGCATGTAGGTCTACCCGTTATTTCTATCTGTTCTGAATAAAAATTTAAATATGTGACAAATTTTAGTAAAACTATACAATATAAAGATAAATGAAAATTTGTTGAGCGCACTCGGTGAATTTTTGTTTCCTTTAGTACAAAAATATCCATCATGACTCTGAAGCTTGTATACTCACACTCGGTTAGGTTTTCCTCTGAGTTTGGTTACCGCTAGCAATGCATATGCAGGCAGTATATGCAACAACAACACAGCGATCGTACTGCGAAGTGGAGACAGACGACACTTCGCTGCCGGGTACCATAACATCTCGTGGCAAGGATGCTTCCGGACCATTTCCACCACGTGGTTAGTGTACTGACCCCACGTCACAGGATTTGTGGTTCCTGTGCTGCAGTGGTACACCTTTAGAGTTAGGTCTTCACTGGGAAACAGAGTGGGTGTTCATTTAATACATCGAGAACGGTGGTCTTTAACAGTTTTAAACAGACGAAACTTTTGTAATTGTAGATATTATAATAAATTTAATTATTTTGCTAAGCGTGTTATGGTGAGAAACAAGTAGTTATGCGAAGATGGCTATCTTCTGGAATGTTGCACCGTGTAGTCTTGTAGAATTTGACCGACTTTTCAGAGCGTTTACTGCCCCTATCATCAGGACGACATGGCATATGTTAGATATTTAATGAAAGAACTAATAAATTCTGGCTACAGCATAGTGTGATATCTGTAATATAACTGCCTTCGGAACAGTGGATTTGTTTGTGTACTAAGTAAACGTCAAGGCAAGGAAAACAAGGTCGCAATAAACACGTTTCGAAAATACGTGTAACACCGGAGTCTACCGTCTTGTTTTTGTTTCGCCTTGTAATTCCAATAGACTTCTTATTTTACCGCTGTAAACATTGAAGAATTTCATTATTTCTGTTACTAAGAAACATCTCAGCTTAGACAGAATGTATGTAATATGACCAGTGCAAGCTTCGAATACATGCCACGATGTTGGAGTCAAATGAAGGTCTTGCGAACAGTTCCTCATTCTTATTTCTGAGGTGGGACCCCCAATGTCCCGCAGGCGCCCTGTTAGTGTAAAAATCAAAAGGGAAAATGCATAGCCACTGCTATAAATACAATGCCTTCACGTGGTGCTCGTGTAATTGGTGTTGGAACGTAATAATTAGCATATATATATATATATATGTGTGTGTGGATCTATCATGGATAAAGACTTTTATACGGGTCAGTTACATAATGTGAAAGACTGCAGTTGGATCTTTGTAAAAATTATGGTTCGTCTGCAATGAAATATATAATGATGATGGGTATCTTTCGTAATGCTAGAGCGAAATATCTTTGCATTCGTGAGAATATTGTAAAGTACCGAAGAGCACGGATGTGGGGAAAGTTTTCTAGGTCACAGACGGAGACCATTTTACGTTACTTCCCTCGACGCTTTTCAAACCTAATAGAGAAAGTTTTCGTACATTAAAGCTCATTTCCTTTCCGAAACGGAACGTCTCAGTCTAGTTTTTTCATAGTCATTTCCGGTGTTTACTGGTCAATCAGTGCGCTTGGCTCCACCCGTTTGTGTCTGTGGTAACGGAACTTTTAGAATGGCCCATTCAATTGACTTTTAAGATGGGCTTAATAACGCGGCCTTCCGATATGTTTTGTGCGGCCCGCGTACGTTTGTTGTAATATTCTGTCACCCCAGACGATGAAAAATAGTTTTCTGATTTCGGGAAACCTATCAATGCAAATATTTGGCAGCAACTATCGTTGTGAGCTGAGAACATTAGGTTAAAAATTAGAACGTGTCTTACCATGGAATGTACGCGAATTGCAGCAAGAAACACTAAACTTCATACTGCATAAGCATCTCACTCTGTGAATCTGTTTGAAAATATGAGGCCCAACTTAGTAGCAGCATTTTTAAATATACTAACATGGTTTTTCGATAAATTGATCAACTTGAGGGCCGCGAGTCGAAGAGAAAATTGAATAAGTCCCAAGGTCTGGGAAAGGCTGAAAACTGCTTTGGGATGACGGAGAGTGGTGGCAGTTATTTGTGCCCAAAACCTTGGTTTCGATACAAGAACAGTCCGTCTTCATAGTCGCATAATAGGCTATCAGTTGCATACCACACCTTTGACGTTATAATAAAGTCAGTCCCGCGGTGTTTTACGAGACTCATTATGTAACACACCTGCTGACACCAGCTCTCCAGGCAGCGGCCAACATTAAGTTTGCCACGTGGTCGCAGGGCACGATGTCCGCTACCCTGTTCTGATCAGCAACCACAACGCGGAATACTCCTTTCGCCGCCCCAGCGATGAAAGCAAAGCCACCCGTCTGTACGTTGTCGATCCATCCTGCTACAGGCTCTTTCAGGGTTCCAAGAACTGGGAACAGAGACCACTAACTCAATAGGAGACTGGAGTTCTGCAATCTCAAATACGACCTAGTTAGTGTCCAAAAACGTTCTTGGTGACTTTGCATACATCATTGCCCTTGAAGTTGATTTATTGCAACAATTCTAACATTCTAATTAACACCTAAGTAAGTGTACTGAGGGTTGTGTTTTGTGAGAGATTGAAGACTTACCCACAGTTGGGCGAACAATTGCAACCGGGATTTGCTTTCTTTCTGTCTTCACTAGGTTTTCAGCCAACTGTTTAGAGAAGGAGTATGTGTTGGGATGATCTGAAGTCAGTCTGGAAGGAAACACATGAAATCGTTAACCAAAGTGACGATTAGCTGTTACGATACTAGGCAATGAATACATTGTCAATCACAGTAAATACTCTTTTAAATGTAAGTGGCTTTTGAGATAAGAACAACAATTATAACTTTTTAGCAGGTGGACAATGGACTTTAAGAGGTGTCAAGGAATGTGTTAGATTAGATGAAATGAAAAATCAAGATATGTGGAAGGACATAAATATTCTATAAATGCAAGTATAAATAACTACAGAAACAGATGATAACCCGCATGAACATAAGGACGATACCATTCTCCTAACACAAACCGAAGGATCTAGGGATGTAGGAAGACGATAAGGTCGGGGCTGATGCGCGAAGGTAGAATAGGGCGAAGACAAGCCATTGTATACAGAGATGATGGTTTCGCGTAATGTTACTAGTGTAGTAAAATAAAGTAGCTTGTTTACATACAGTTATGTGGAGTTAAATATGTAGCCTGCTTAACACAAAAGTTCGGAAATCTTCACATGTTGTATGTTCTTCGAGTGTCGACAGTGCCTATAAGAAGCGTGATCTTGTGTTTCTCACCTTGCTGTTAAGTTCCGGGTTTCTTCCGGGGACTTGTTCTGCACGAGTTCTATCACGTAATTGGGATCATACTTTGCGGGGTACACCTGTTCCAGAATCACGCTTCCCAGCGTGCAGTTGCAGTAAGCAGTAGAGACGTACACTAGTGCCTGTTGAAGCAAAATTGCTCTTACATCATTTTCAGTGGTAAATTGTTGCTGATCACATCTCAGGTATTTTAGCGGATGCAGAATATATATTCTGCATCCGCTAATGTAGACTCCTCGGCATTTTTTTAAACAATCCAATTTTTTCCTTACCTTGGATTGAAAGACGACGTAAATAATTTAGTTAACTTAGTTTGTAAGTAACGATTGTTTTGTGGTATTATCAAGTCATTGTCTGCTATAAATATATCTTGAAGAAACATATGTGTGAGAGACATGGCCGATTCGTAATGTGGAGTATTAAATTTTTTTGAAGTAATAGTCTCTTAAAAATATTAAATTTTAGTTGAAGTAACGTTTTTGTCGATTGTGAATGAGCAATATGGCATCCAGGCTAAATGATTTTGTTTTATGGCGATAACTAATGAACGACTGGAACCAGGTACATTAAATTTGGTATTGATGTAGTTATACATATACTTATAAATTATGTATTCACATTGTATGTTAACAATTACAAACGTGGCGACGGTGCAGAACTTTGAGGTTACATCTCACAAATTTCAAGTAATGTGAATTCATACTAAGAAGTGGAAAGCTTGCTCATAGTAAACATAATAAATAATTAAATGGTATAGTTAGAAATACTTGATAGCCTCACAAATGGAATGAAACATATCAAGGAATGTAAGCATCATAAGTTTTCGGAAATCTAATTTTATCATTTAAATGATAATTACATGATACGTCTACCAAGCCGGGCTGCTTTATGACGGTACGTAACGTGACGAGGCCCCAGCATCTTTACTTGTGTAACACCCAAACGTACAGAAAAGTAAACTCTGATGGAATAAAGTTAAATATGGAATTTTAATTAATTTTCGTTAAAATAAAAAAATTGCATCACATACTTGCCATACTAGAATATTGGTATTTTTTCTATGGTCTTTGTAACAAACCTTTTATTTTTCCTTGAAATTTATGAACAGGCTGGCGTTATGCTTTTTCTTTATTAACTACATTAAATATTTCTAACCACAGTTCGGGAACTATTGTAGCAGTTCCTTTGACGAATAAAGAAACTCTGAAAGCCACTGTTCAAGAACCTGGGTTCTCTTCACGCATAACATCGGTCGTAATTGTTACTTCAGTGTCCTTGCTGACGACATGTCGAAACATTTCCTTCATTATGGCGTAAGTGTCCGGAAGCCGACGGAATTAACTGTTATCCCTTGTTTGGAAGCAACTTGCTTTACGTCATTTCTTTCAATGGACATGAGAGCCTTTACATACAGATGGCGTTCCCTTCCTGACATCATCCAGCCTAAGTCGCAAATAGATGTGAAGGGACAGGGCCTCGAAAATGCTTATTTGCATGATTTGAGGTTTTCACAGCGGTATGAAGATTTCTGTCTTCCGGGTTGTTGCGCTGTGTAGTCTGGTCGATGTTTACCAACGTTTCAGAGGTCATACTGCTTCCGTCAGGGCCCTAATGACGGCGGCAGTATGACCTCAGAAACGTTGGTAAACATCTACCAGACCACAAAGCGCAACAACCCAGAAGACAGAAATCTTCATACTAAGAATCGCCCTGATGACGGAGGCAGTATGACCTCTGAAACGTTGGTTAACATCGACCAGACTACACAGCGCAACAACCCAGAAGACAGAAATCTTCATACTAAGAATCGCCCTGATGACGGAGGCAGTATGACCTCTGAAACGTTGGTTAACATCGACCAGACTACACAGCGCAACAACCCAGAAGACAGAAATCTTCTTGCTTATTTGTGTTTCTTGTTCTCTCTCTCGTCTAAGAATCGACACCAACTAACAGATTTTCGCTGTTGCCACAAAATATATAGATGAGAAGCCTAATACTTTCAACTTATCGAAATGTAGATGAAACCGTACATAAAAGTCACGTGCGTGCGTGCGCGGTGTGTGACTGTCACGAAACTAACTACCTCGGGGTCGTGCCCAGTGGCCGACTTTAGTGGACGTACAGGTTCTGTTATCAGGCAGCTAAGTTGGTATCAAAATTCACTGCGCAATTACAGCTGTCCATCTGTTATCCTTATCAGGTGTAAAACGATTTAATATTGAATTGTTGTGATGCTTCTTGAACCCTCTTGGGTGGCGGAATGCGTAGAAGTAACTGGCGTCAGACACCATTGGCGCTCTATTATAGAGAATTTTTATATTACATAATGTTATAAAGTGGGCTTGTTAGCTTTTTAATAAATCGTAAAAGACATTTCCTTACCGATGGACCACTGTTGACGTGAACGGAAACTGACATCAAAATTATAATACGCCAAACAAACTGTCCTTCACGTTTTGTACTTGATATTAAGGAATAGTGTTCTATGTTCGCTGTGATTTCCTGTCTTCTGAAGTAAAAGTATTAGTGTATGGAGGAAAAAGTATGTTTGTCCATTCAAGTTTACATTATGTAACTACCTGACTTGACTGACTGTGGCACAGAATCGTAAGACTTTGATGGTTGTTCCTGTGGTTAAGAAATGCCCGCGGTGTGGATCGGGCTATAATATAGTTCATACAACAATAGAATGCGAAGACATGATCTGGATAGAACAACCTCAGGTCAGGATAGGGCACAGCTGCGAGATGAACTCCATTAAACTAGTTCAGAATAGGGCCGACATGCGAGCTACCGTCAACCCACGGATGAATCTCTGTGTTCCATAAAAGCTGATAATGTCTGAACCGGTTGCATGACCGCCACTAACTAATTACATTCCCTGTAATTAATATAATTCTGACTGCTGTAGGCCTCATGTAGGTTATTCTGTGGTTTCATGCAGCTTTTGAGCGCGACTTTGTATAACCCTGCCGTAGACCGTTCAATACAATAACAGGAAATCGAACCTATGCCACATACGTATACGAGGTGCGATCGGAAAGTTTCAAGACTGTGTCAATAGAGGGCGAACCGGATGTAGTACGAGCTTCTGCCGCTAGGGGGTGCGGCCTACATTCATAGTGAATCAGTGTGCCAGCCGGCATCATCGAATTAGCATTTGTTTCTTAGTTACGGGCGTTTTGGTAGTGCATTACACCGACCCTCCTGCGATTGCGGAATGGCG